CCTCACCTGTCTCAGCCCTCACCTGTCTCAGCCCTCACCTGTCTAAATCCTCACCTGTCTCAATCCTCACCTGTCTCAGCCACTCACCTGAAGTCTAGCCCTCACCTGTCTCAACCCTCACCTGTCTCAGCCCTCACCTGTCTCAGCCGCTCACCTGTCTAAATCCTCCCTGTCTCAATCCTCACCTGTCTCAGCACTCACCTGAAGTCTAGCCCTCACCTGTCTCAACCCTCACCTGTCTCAGCCCTCACCTGTCTCAGCCCTCACCTGTCTAAATCCTCACCTGTCTCAATCCTCACCTGTCTCAGCACTCACCTGAAGTCTAGCCCTCACCTGTCTCAACCCTCACCTGTCTCAGCCCTCACCTGTCTCAATCCTCATCTGTCTCAGCACTCACCTGAAGTCTAGCCCTCACCTGTCTCAATCCTCACCTGTCTCAATCCTCACCTGTCTCAACCCTCACCTGTCTCAATCCTTACCTGTCTCAACCCTCACCTGTCTCAATCCTCACCTGTCTCAATCCTCACCTGTCTCAGCCCTCACCTGTCTCAATCCTCATCTGTCTCAGCACTCACCTGAAGTCTAGCCCTCACCTGTCTCAACCCTCACCTGTCTCAGCCCTCACCTGTCTCAGCCCTCACCTGTCTAAATCCTCACACGTCTCAATCCTCACCTGTCTCAGCACTCACCTGAAGTCTAGCCCTCACCTGTCTCAACCCTCACCTGTCTCAGCCCTCACCTGTCTCAGCCCTCACCTGTCTCAATCCTCATCTGTCTCAGCACTCACCTGAAGTCTAGCCCTCACCTGTCTCAATCCTCACCTGTCTCAATCCTCACCTGTCTCAACCCTCACCTGTCTCAATCCTCACCTGTCTCAACCCTCACCTGTCTCAATCCTCACCTGTCTCAATCCTCATCTGTCTCAACCCTCACCTGTCTCAATTCTCACCTGTCTCAATCCTCACCTGAAGTCTAGCCCTCACCTGTCTCAATCCTCACCTGTCTCAATCCTCACCTGTCTCAACCTTCACCTGTCTCAATCCTCACCTGTCTCAATCCTCACCTGAAGTCTAGCCCTCACCTGTCTCAACCCTCACCTGTCTCAACCCTCACCTGTCTCAACCCTCACCTGTCTCAGCACTCACCTGTCTCAATCCTCACCTGTCGCAATCCTCACCTGTCTCAATCCTCACCTGTCTCAATCCTCACCTGAAGTCTTGCCCTCACCTGTCTCAATCCTCACCTGTCTCAATCCTCACCTGTCTCAACCCTCACCTGTCTCAATCCTCACCTGTCTCAATCCTCATCTGTCTCAACCCTCACCTGTCTCAATTCTCACCTGTCTCAATCCTCACCTGAAGTCTAGCCCTCACCTGTCTCAATCCTCACCTGTCTCAATCCTTACCTGTCTCAATCCTCACATAAAGTATAGCCCTCACCTGTCTCAATCCTCACCTGTCTCAATCCTCACCTGTCTCAACCTTCACCTGTCTCAATCCTCACCTGTCTCAATCATCACCTGAAGTCTAGCCCTCACCTGTCTCAACCCTCACCTGTCGCAATCCTCACCTGTCTCAACCCTCACCTGTCTCAATCCTCACCTGAAGTCTAGCCCTCACCTGTCTCAACCCTCACCTGTCTCAATCCTCACCTGTCTCAATCCTCACCTGTCTCAATCCTCACCTGTCTCAACCCTCACCTGTCTCAATCCTCACCTGTCTCAATCCTCACCTGTCTCAGCACTCACCTGTCTCAACCTTCACCTGTCTCAGCACTCACCTGAAGTCTAGCCCTCACCTGTCTCAATCCTCACCTGTCTCAATCCTCATCTGTCTCAACCCTCACCTGTCTCAATCCTCACCTGTCTCAATCCTCACCTGAAGTCTAGCCCTCACCTGTCTCAATCCTCACCTGTCTCAATCCTCATCTGTCTCAACCCTCACCTGTCTCAATCCTCACCTGTCTCAATCCTCACATAAAGTATAGCCCTCACCTGTCTCAATCCTCACCTGTCTCAATCCTCACCTGTCTCAACCTTCACCTGTCTCAATCCTCACCTGTCTCAATCATCACCTGAAGTCTAGCCCTCACCTGTCTCAATGCTCACCTGTCGCAATCCTCACCTGTCTCAATCCTCACCTGAAGTCTTGCCCTCACCTGTCTCAATCCTCACCTGTCTCAATCCTCACCTGTCTCAACCTTCACCTGTCTCAATCCTCACCTGAAGTATAGCCCTCACCTGTCTCAATCCTCACCTGTCTCAATCCTCACTTGTCTCAACCCTCACCTGTCTCAATCCTCATCTGTCTCAACCCTCACCTGTCTCAATCCTCACCTGTCTCAATCCTCACCTGAAGTCTAGCCCTCACCTGTCTCAATCCTCATCTGTCTCAACCCTCACCTGTCTCAATCCTCACCTGTCTCAATCCTCACCTGAAGTCTAGCCCTCACCTGTCAATCCTCACCCGTCTCAATCCTCACCTGTCTCAATCCTCACCTGAAGTCTAGCCCTCACCTGTCTAAATCCTCACCTGTCTCAATCCTCACCTGTCTCAACCCTCACCTGTCTCAATCCTCACCTGAAGTCTAGCCATTACCTGTCTCAACCCTCACCTGTCTCAGCACTCACCTGAAGTCTAGCCCTCACCTGTCTCAACCCTCACCCGGCATCAAAAGTACATAGCATCTGGTTGGCTTGAAACAGCTCAAAAGGAAGATACAACTCATACCACGAAGGTATTTCGACAGGAGGATTTGAATAATTCTTTAATTCAGGGTTTCCAGACAGTCCTTGCGGTCCACCATCAAAACAAAGCTCCTCCGTGTAGCTTTCACAGACTGTTGGGACAAGTTCTCTTAGCGAATAGCAGCAGCTATGAAGGGCGGCACACAAGGGGGTGGGTGGTCAGCACCAAGCTCGATGGCCTGTCTCCCCCAGTGGGTGATGTTTACTACACACCGCTGCATCAGGTACTCGTTTGAGGCTGAGTCGACCTAGGGGAGGCCCAGGATGGGTTCAGATAATCGTCATTGGTGTTGGAGGCCGTGAGCGGGAGTCGAACTTGGGTTCGCAGCACAGCGTAGTGCAAACCGCTATACCACCGCTATCCCACCACCACCACCACCCTCCTCCGTATTTCTGCATTGACCAACTTGTTTAATGCAGAGTAGTACTTGGAGGGCTTTTGCGACCAATATTATTCGTAATAAAGTATTTATTTTGGTTTAGATCGCATTAATATATAAATATTGTGTTGTTAAACCCATCACCACCAGATACAGCCAATGAGTAGGGATGTGTCACGTGCACAATTAGTTACTGCTTCAGCAGTAAACCGGTTGTGTGTCTGGAGAGTAAACTCACGACGTTTATAATTCGAGTACGACGTTTTTTTTCCGTTGGTGATTAGAACAACCAGCTTCATCAGGCGAATTGCCAGAATTGTGAAGAAAGTCTTCCTGCTTCCGGTCTTAAATAGAGTAAAGGTGACTTTATCATCACTGTGAGCTTTTCAGATCAACAGAGGGGGGTTTACTGTATTCACATTCAATGTATTGTAATCATATTGCAATATTTTGTAATCGTATTATAATGTTATTGTAATCATATTAAAATGTATATATACTCATATTATAATTTGTATTTTAAATAATTACAGATCTGCCGATTGGGAAAGAAGAAAAAATCGTTTCGTAATTCTAATCAGGGAACAGGGAATCTTATCTCGTGTGCTGTATCTACAGACAGCGCCTTAGTTCAAGGTGCTTCTGATAGTTTAAAAAGCAGTAACAAATATGCAACGTTCTTGAAACTAAACTATAAATTTGTAGTGACATTGAATGAGTCACTGTAGCGCGTGCCGCTGGGAGATTGGTCGACAGTGGAATGAGGGGTAGCAGCCCGTTCTACCAGCTGGACCTGTGGGCAAGGCACGGAGCCCTCTGGGGGATCCAGAGGTCGTGCGGGGCCGAGGGTGGAGCCTGGCCATGCTGGGCAGGATAAAAGGCGAGCTCCGACTCAGTCGGGGCTGCTGCGGTCTGGAGTGGAACTCGTCGTGCCGTTGTCGTCGTGATCTTCGCCCTCTTCAAGCTGTGGGTCTGGCAGTGGGTCTGGCAGCGTGTTGCCTGTCCCGACCCGGTATATAGTTATCCCCTAAGGCTGTGAAGGCCGGAATAAAAGAGAGTACCGCCTACTAGTGTCTGTGAATTAGTACACCACGTTTTTTAAAGAAGCGACCTGGCTATCACAAATGATAGCTCAACGAAGTGGCTTATCATCATCATCATCACCACGTAGAAATGTATATCAGCCAAATACTTTAAACGTGTGACGTTGATTATGAATGTTGAATGGAAAAAAAAATTGGGAGGACCTACAGGGAGAGAGACACTGCAAACTCCAAATATAGAGCAGGCGTCGCCAGGGTTCGGGATCGGAACCCACGAACCTCCTGCATACCAGGCGAGGTAGTTAACATCTCCTTAACCACCACGGTGCCCAATAACAACACAAAACAAGAGAAGAGGGAGGATGAGGAGGGTGGGGGAGGGGGGAGGAGGCAGAGGGAGGAGGATGAGCAGGGATGAGGAGAAGGGAGGAGGATGAGGAGGATGAGGAAGGAGGAGGAGGGATGAAGAGAGAGGAGGAAGGAGGATGAGAAGGGAGGAGGATGATGAAGAGGAGGATGAAGAGGAGGAGGGAGGAGGATGAGGAAGGAGGATGATGAAGAGGAGGATGAAGAGGAGGAGGGAGGAGGAGGATGAAGAGGAGGATGAAGAGGAGGATGAAGAGGAGGATGGAGGAGTAGGATGAAGAGGAGGAGGGAGGAGGATGGGGAGGGAGGGAGGAGGGGGGGAGGAGGAGGATGAGGAAGGAGGGATGAAGAGGGAGGAGGAGGATGACAAGGGAGGAGGATGATGAAGAGGAGGGAGGAGGATGAGGAGGGAGGAGGATGAGGAGGGAGGAGGACGGGGCAGGAGGAAGATAAGGAGGTGGGGCGGAGGATGAGGATGGAGGTGAATGGAGGAGGAAGGAGGAGGAAGAGGATGTGGAGGGAGGAGGCGGGAGGCTCACAGAGAGAGAGAGAGAAGAGAGATGTTTCCGGTTTTCTCGTTGATCACCCAGAGGTAGCGACGACCGCCAGCGCCCGAGCGAAGAGCAGCGTGAGCAGGAGGGAGCACCACGGCACGGGAGCCAGCGAGCGGCTCGCCATCGCCGCGCCCTTCGCCGTCGCAGTGCCGGCACTGCTGCTGGCGGTGATGGTGGTGTTGGCGATACTCGAGGTGCTGGTGGTAGTCGTGGCACCCGTGGTACTCGCGATGCTGGCGGTGCTGGCGGTGCTGGCCGTGCTGGCAGAACTCGCAGCACTTTTGGTGCTTTCGCTGCTGGCGGTGCTCGCGGTACTGGCGGTACTGGCGGTAATCGTGGTAGTCGTAGTGTCTGCGGTACTGTCGGTGCTGGCGGTGCTGGCGGTGCTAGTGCTGCTGGCGGTACTGGTGCTGCTGGCGGTACTGGTGCTGCTGGCGGTACTGGTGGTAATCGTGGTGCCCGTGGTGCCGGCAGTGCCGGCGGTGCTGGCGGTACTCGTTGGACTGGTGGTAACGGCGGTGATGGCCGTTTGGTTGTATCCTGTCGTTCCAAGATAAGACGCATCGTTATAACGCGGAACGTGTGTGTGTCTGTGACGTGTGTGTGTGATGTGTGTGTGACGTGTGATGCGTGTGTGTGACGCGTGTGTGACGCGTGTGTGACGCGTGTGTGTGACGCGTGTGTGTGACGTGTAACGTGCGTGTGACGTGTGTATGTGTGTGTTCACGCACCTGCAGTCATGACTTGAGCCGATATCACATTCCCAACCCACACTCCTTTCGACTGGACAATGGTCGCACTGTCACAAGGGTAGATAAATCAGATTAAAGATCATCAACATCATCACCTTAACTAGGCGAACCTAGACTGGCACTGTGATCTCGCATCAAATCTCCTGTTACCAAACATGGGCTCGCAGCTAGGATATTAGCGACGGTTTGGGTTAAGAAAAAGAGGCTTTCGATTTTTGCTGAAGATGTTCCGTTTGGTCTCTGGCTGGTGGTAGGTGCGAGGTTAAGGAGAGGCTTTTTGGGACGGAAGGGCCCATGGCGAGAAGGGAGGGCAGCTGAGCAGCCCTTCGTAGGTGTGAGACCATGCGGTGTGCATGTGTAGAGGAGTAGTTGCGGACATGACGTCACGCTTGCCTCCGGGGGTGATGGTGTCACGGGAAGTGACGTCATACGCGCCCGGGTGTGGGATGACACACACATATCGACGCACACACACACATGGACTGTCACACAGACACATTGCCATACACACATCGACTGACACGCAGACTCCCACAGAACATAAATGGACTCACACACGCACATAGAGGCACACACACATGGACTCACACGCACACATGGACCAAAAAAGACCCACACAGAAAGAAATGTACTTACACTGACTGACATGGAGCGACGCACACACAGCGACTAACACACACGCACACTGACTGACACAAAGACACAGACATATCGACTGACACATACAAAAACATGGACTTTCACACACACATGGCCACAGACATGCACATCGACCCACACACACACATGGACTTAGACGCACGCATTATTTTTCGATTTAAAGCTTTCGTGACTGCAATGATTCATCTTCTTTGGTTCTTTCGGTAAAGTCACGTAGAATGAGAATAAAATAATAAATTGATAAAATAAAATAACAATAATATTCTCACGACGTTTCGGCCACAACACAAGCGGCCTTCATCAGGTGAAGGGAGCGAGACTGTCTGGTAGGACAGCGCTGGAGTGAGAGAGCCACGTTCAGATCACGGCTTTTAAGCTGTGTGAGAGGAACAAAGAGCCTTGACGAAGGAATTAGCATAAAATTTAGCATTGAAAAGGCTGAATGATTAGCTTGTGACTGGTCACAGAAATAGCTATGTTAAAAGTTAAAGCATACACATCCGCAGAGGCACCCATTGTTAAAAGGAATTAGCATAGAATTTAGCATTGAAATAGCTAAATTAAGGCATTTGCTTGTAACTGCTACAGAAATAGTTACGTTGAAGTCAGAGCATACACATTCACCGAGGCACTTAGTACAAATCAAAACAGGAGAATTTAGCATTGAAATAACTAGGCGAATTTAGAATTTAGCACGCATTATTGTTGTGAAAATAAGTAACTTAATTAAAAGAGTAGTTTTCTACACACGCAGACGACGCACACACATGGACTTACGCACACACACATCGACTTACGCACACACACATAGACGGTATGCACTATCACTTCAGCAGTGCATACCGACTGTGGTGATACCTGCTTTCACTACAGCAGTGCACACGGACTGTGGTGGTACCTGCTTGAACTACAGCAGTGCAAACCGACTATGGTGGTTTGTGGTATCACTACAGCAGTGCCTAGTGACTGTGGTGTAACCTGCTATCACAAAGGCAGTGCATACTGACAGTGGTGGTAGCTGGTATCACAAGAGCAATGAATATTGACTGTGGTGGTCCGTGCTATTATTACAGCAGTGCATACTGTGGTGGTACCTGCTTTCCCTGCAGCAGTGCATGCATACTATGGTGTAAGCTGCTATGATTACAGCAGGGCAAGCGACAGTGGTGGTACCTGCTATGAGTAGAGTAGTAGATGCTGACTCTATAGCAGTATATATGGACTGTACAGTAGTACATGCTGACTCTATAGCAGTATATATCGACTCTACAGTAGTACATGCTGACTCTCTAGCAGTATATATAGTGACTCTGTAGCACAAAGTACTCAAGTGACAGAGTATCATGGTGTGGCCGTGAGCTCGACCGAACGCGCATGAATTGGCAGGGTCCGCTCCCCCCACGCAATTGTCGTCAGTTGGTACGGTCGAGCTCGCGCAATAAGTAAATAATTAAAATAAGAATGTCACTAAATGGCTAATTAAACTAATTAAAAGTTGACGGATGGGAAAACGGAATAGCCTATTCCCATCGTGGGGCTTGGGGCGTGCCACCCATCATTTTTTTTAGTACAAAAACCCCACCGTCTGAGAGCCAAATCCCCCGCAAGCGCGCGTGGACACTTTTATATATACTAGCGGTAAGTACCCGGCGTTGCCCGGGTGAAAAATACCCCCACGTAGGTATATATACCTACACACCCTACATACAACAGAGGAAGTAGTATCGATTGACTCTGTAGTTGTATCTACTGACTGTACAGTAGTATCTACTGAGCCAGTAGTAGCTACTGACTGTGTAGTAGTATTTAGTGACTGTAGTAACGACTGACCGTAGTAGTATCTACTGGCCCTACAGTAGTATCTACCGACTCTATAGTATCCACTGACTATAGTAGTAACTACTAACTCTATAACAGTATCTACTGACTGTATAGTAGTATCTACTGACTCTATAGCAGTAGCTACTGACCGTAGTAGTATCTACTTGTAGTAGTATTTGATGACTGTAGCAGTATTTACTGACCGTAGTGGTATATACTGTTTTAGTATCTACTAACTTTACATAGCAGTATCTACACACTCGATAGCAGTATCTACTATCACTAAAACAGTGCATACTGACTGTGGTGGTATCCTGCTATGACTACAGCAGTGCATACCGACTATGGTGGTTCCTGCTATGATTACAGCTTTCAGTACAGTAGTACATGCTGACTATCTATCTTATGTATGAAAGGGAAATTTGTGAATGTGTCTGTTCAAAATGTTTAGCATACTTGCCGACATGCAACCAACTTATATTATCATACACTCACTCACACAACCACTAACCCATTCACTCATCATACACTAATTCCCTCATCATACACTCACTCATCATACGCTGACTCACTCACACATCATACACTCACTCACACAACCACCGACCCATTCACTCATCATAAACTGACTCACTCACTGATCATACACTGGGAGTGTCATGCTGCCAGCTATGGCTGCAAGTTTGGTCGTAGATGTTATTTATATCATTTATTGTTAAATGAGAATCACAGTTCCTATGATTACTGTTGTTACATTATTTTTATAGTTTTATTTTGGTGATTAAGAAAACATATGGTTAATCTATCTAATGGTTGTTATTGTTTGACTTGCATCACACTGGGATTTGAGCATACAGCGTTGTAATACGTTTTTGTTTAAGATTTGCTGGTTTATCCAGGATGTTTCGATTCCTTTGCGCGAATTAAAGAATCGATTCTTGGCGCGCTCGGGTTTAATTTTATTTTAAATTAATGAGTTATCTTTTCATTTGTATGTTATGTTTTTAAGATTTCAAATATATTTCCCGCTAGTAGCAGTATATATCGACTCTATAGTACAAAGTCCTCACCTGACAGAGTGGGGTGGCGAGGCCTAGTCCCGTGCAGAGCCTCCGGCCTCGCCTAGCTTGCCCGGCCGGCCGAGGCTGTGGGCTGGGCCGCTTACCCCCCCCCCCCCACCCCCCACGCAACAAAAATACTGTCTGATCACTATAATTTTTGTATCTACCGACCCTATAATAGTAAGTGCACATATTGGGGTGGGGGGGGAGAGAAGAGGATGTGAAACTGATGAATTTACGTCAGCGTTGCGTGTACATTTTTTTGCATTTTCAACGTGAATGAGAAATTCCCCCCACCCTCCGGCATCTGTGCGTTGCCAGGGGCAACTCGTGTCAGCGTTTCGCGCATGCGCAACAGCGAGCCGGGCGGCAAAAGTAAATAAATAAAGACAAATTGCACAAAAACGCGATTTGAATCACTTTAAAGGTGACAGATGGGAAGACGGAATAGCCTATTCCCACCGCGGGGCTCGGGGTGTGCCGCCCGGCAAATTTTTTTCGACGTTAACCGTACGGTCCGAGAGCCAAATCCCTCGCAGGCGAGCGTACGCAGAGGGACAGACAGACAGATGGACAGACAAAAAAATGCCTTTTATAGGTTAGGAGAAAGAAGATTGGCAGATTCACGCAACATGATTATTCACCAATGACTCTCATGCGCAATATAATTTCACACGCGTTTATGAATCACCTCGTGTACATTAACCCCTCTGGGACATTGTCACATTACCCCTCCCCAGGAGTCCGGGTAACCACCGGGTGAGAACCACTGGCCTATAGCAGCAGCGGTGAGACACAGCCACAGAGGAGGAGGGTGCTGCTGGGTCTCTGGTGCCAATCAAATTCAGGGACGGAGCATCGAAGCGTGGTTGGTTCGCATGTTCCAACACAGACACGATGCTTGGCAATAGGCGTCAATTTTGGTGTTTGAATATCTTAGAAGGGTATGTAAGGTGTGCGTAGCCTTACAAGGGACACTCACACAGAGTAGCCAGTGCCGTCCATAGGGGTGGGGGGCGGGGTGTGGGGCCGGGGCAAACCCCACCGTGCCTTGCCGACGCCTTCACATGAGACCAAGGGATTAGTCTCTCCATAGGGATGGCTCTGGGTGAGGTACTCACACAGACACCAAGGGGTGAGTCTCTACCTAGGGATGGCTCTGGGTGAGGTACTCACACAGAGACCACGGGGTGAGTCTCTACCTAGGGATGGCTCTAGGTGAGGTACTCACACAGAGACCACGGGGTTAGTCTTTACCTAGGGATGGCTCTGGGTGAGGTACTCACACAGAGACCAAGGGATTAGTCTCTACCTAGGGATGGCTCTGGGTGAGGTACTCACACAGACACCAAGGGGTTAGTCTCTACCTAGGGATGGCTCTGGGTGAGGTACTCACACAGACACCACGGGGTGAGTCTCTACCTAGGGATGGCTCTGAGTGAGGTACTCACACAGAGACCACGGGGTGAGTCTTTACCTAGGGATGGCTCTGGGTGAGGTACTCACACAGAGACCACGGGGTGAGTCTTTACCTAGGGATGGCTCTGGGTGAGGTACTCACACAGAGACCACGGGGTGAGTCTTTACCTAGGGATGGCTCTGGGTGAGGTACTCACACAGAGACCACGGGGTGAGTATTTACCTAGGGATGGCTCTGGGTGAGGTACTCACCCAGAGACCATGGGGTGAGCCTCTACCTAGGGATGGCTCTGGGTGAGGTACTCACACAGACACCACGGGGTGAGTCTTTACCTAGGGATGGCTCTAGGTGAGGTACTCACACAGACACCACGGGGTGAGTCTCTATCTAGGGATGGCTCTGGGTGATGTACTCACACAGAGACCAAGAGGTTAGTATTTACCTAGGGATGGCTCTGGGTGGGTTACTCACACAAAGACCATGGAGGACGCGGATGATGCGGGTGGAGCGACCCAGGTGAAGGTCGCGTTCGTGAGGTTACCGGCAGCATCGCCCTTCGTCACTGTGGTGTTGGTGGTGCACTGCAACGCAAAGAGGGTTGGGGAGGGGGTTATGCTGCTGAGCTGGCGACCGGTTTGACATGTAGTGTCTCATCAGCAGCAGAATCAATCTCTGCTTGGACCAATGCTGGTGAACTGTCCAGATGTTCATAGGTAAGGTCTGGTTTCGACATTCAGTGTATCATCAGCAGCAATGTTGGTGGAGGGAGGGGCAGAAGGGAGGGCGAGGAAGATGGAGAATGGAGAGGGCTTAAGATAAATAGGGGGAGGTGGAGTGAGTGGAGGGTGGGGGGAGGGGTGGAGTGTAGGGGAGGGTGGTCGGTGGAGGGTGGGGAGGGTGGGGGGGTGAACAGAGGGTGGGGGATCGAGAGAGGGAGGGTGGGAGGTGGAGTGAGTGGAGGGTGGAGGGAGGGAGTGATGAGGGAGGACTCTCCGAGTCGGGATGAATGGCCAGGCCGTGAGCCCACGATGTGGCTGGGGTATAGGTTCGAGTCCCGTTACGTTGGCGGGGAACGTGGTGTTCGCCGGAAGCTTCTCGAAGGTGCCCACTGGGAGCATGGAGCTCACGTCCCTCGTCTGCAGCAGGAAGTTCTCGAACGTCCCCTCGATAGTGACTACAGGGCACACAGAGAATCGTAGACTAGCACAGAGACCCATAGACTCACACAGACCCAAGACTCACACACAGACCCACACAAAGACCCCACAGATATCCCTCCAACTCACATATGCTTTGATAATATAAGGAGGTCATCGATGTATCGATTTACGAACCAGCTTCTATGATTTTTTTCATATTTACTCTCGACTTACGAACACCCGCATTTACGAACCAGCTTCCATGATTTTTTTCATTGACTTAAAACGCTACTCGCACTTGCAAACTAAACTGCGGAACTGTTTTGTTCAGCAGAGCGATCCTTCGCGAGATGTAACGAGTCAGCCTCGCGCTGAGAGTGTCCGTGTGTGTGTCTTTGTGCGTGCATGCGCAGACTGACTGGGACTCGCAAGTGCCCGGGGTCCTCGCCGCCTACCGGATGGCCCTTCACGCATCCACGGGCTACTGGGCCTTCTTTTTAATGTTCGGCAGGGAACACGACCCCCCCATTGAGGCCCAATTAGGTGTCACACCTTACATGGTGAAATTTAGCCTTGAGGACTCCATGCGGCTTACCGTCGATTCTCGAATTGCGGGTGAAGTTGAAGGCGGATGTGGTGATGGAGTAGGTGAGGTTCGTGCTCGCATTTGACGCGTTCCCGCTGATGTTCAGGCTGCTGCAGACATCCTGGGCACGCGCAGCCTGAATGGCCATGCAGAGTGTGAGAGCGGAGACCGCCACAGCCACGCTCATCAGCGCAGCCATCATATCTCTCCTCTCTCTCTGACTCTTTCTATCTTTCTCTCCCTGTATCTCTCTTTATCTGTCTCCTTGTCCCTCTCAGTCTATCTCTCCGCCTGTCTGTCTCCCTGTCCCTCTGTCTCTCTCTCTCTGGCTATCTATCTCCCTCCCTGTCTCTGTCTCTCTAACAACAACCAATCTGTACTCCCACCCAACTGAACTTTCGAGACGCTGATTGTTTTGTTTTAGGACCAACAATGCGACTCGGCCATTAACTGGGCAGCGGCTACAGAATAGAAAATAAACAAAATCTCTGAAAATGTTTTTGTCTTCTTCTTAAAGTACGTACATTTGTGAAGACTTGTCTGCGTGTTCACTGTGAATGTAGCGAGTGAATTGGGGGCTGTGTCGGTGACAATGTAGCAGCAGCAGCCTGCTCTACTGCTGTTCTACTGCTGCTCTACTGATCTACTGTCGCTCTACGGATGCTCAACGGCTGCGTGACGATCGCTGCTGCGGTGCTAATGAAGGCACAGGGAGGTCTCTCGCTGCTTCACAGCGGCAGTCGATTGGTGATCAGAGGGACCAGGCCAGCAATGGGATATAAAGGGGGTAAGTGGGGGGTGAGTGGGGGCTGGTGAGGGAGGGAGGTCAGTGGAGGGAGGTCAGTGGGGGGGGCAGGTATGTGGGTAGAGAGTGGGAGAGTGAGCCAAGATTGGATATCAAAGTCGTAGACCTAGGAGTTGTACTACTAGTAGTAAGTAGCAGGAGTAGTAGATATTACCTACTAGCAGTAGGTATTACTACTAGCAGTAAGAAGTAATACTTACTACTAGAAGAACTACTACTAGTAGTAGTAGGTATTACCTACTACTACTAGCAGTAGTAATACCTACTATTGCTAGCAGTAGTGTAGGTATTACCTACTAGCAGTAGGTATTACTACTAGCAGTAAGTAGTAATACTTACTACTAGAAGAACTACTACTAGTAGTAGTAGGTATTACCTACTACTAGCAGTAGTAATACCTACTATTGCTAGCAGTAGTGTAGGTATTACCTACTCGACTGCTAGTAGTAATACCTACTTCTAGTAGTAGAACTACTAGTAGTAGTTACTACAACTAGAAATGGGATAGTGAATCGTAATGTGGTACAGAACTTCCTACTAGTAGTGTTACTAGTAGTAGTACTTCTACTAGAGATGGGACCATTGCGCATCTAGACTGTACAACCATCCGTGTGAAAAGTAAGTGGGTGTTCTTGATATATTAACATATATCACCTTATCTATGGGACCCTTTTTTGCCAGTAGTCAAAAATTATGAAAAATAAAAAATAGGTAAAGTCACGTAGAAGGGAAACAATAAAATAATAAAAATAAAACATTTTTACCAAAAGAACCAAGAATATAAATCCCTGCAGTCACGAAAGCTTTAAATAAAAAAATAAAAATAGGGTTTACCATTTTCCGTCAAGAAAACAGGAGTTGTGTTCAGATGTTAAAAACAGCAAAACATCAAAATACCTTCATCAGAATACCTTCATCAGAGCGGGTTTGTTTGTATGTTTTGCCACAAGTACCGTACTTGTGTGCTTAATGCAGTACTTGATGCCTTGTAAAAAGCGTGTTTCTATTTGGTGTTTGAGAACATCTCAACACAACTGCCTGTTTTAGTGCCAGAAAGGGTAAAAAAAGCCTATTATTTTCCATCATAGATCACCTGGTCCATTATTCTTAATGTATTTAATAGTTGTTTATCATATATATGAAAAAAATAGTCATATTTGTAAACGATATCTGTGGATTATTTATGTATTGAGTGCACGTGAAATAGATTATAGCCAGTCAGGGACGCTAAACGCTTGGGCTGCCATCTGGCGCATGAATGTTCGCTGCGTGCCAGTGCTTGAGTTCATTAATCACCAGAAACATCACGGCGAGGTTACCGTGCAGTAACGTGGTGCTGGGATTGGGTATCGATAAGTTGAGTTGACGGTTAATAGTGAAAGAACGTACGGCGGATGGGGCGCGTGAATCGTGGCGTTAAGTGCGGATTACTCATTGTTTTTTTCGGTAAAAGTCACGTATGTAGAAATACAATAAAATTATATATAAAAAAAACAATCACGACGTTTCGATCACAACGCAAGCGATCTTCATCAGGTGTCAAGAACAAATCACGGAGGTAAATACAACAAAAGATGAGAGATGAGAATTCAACAAACCTGAAAAAACATTATGTGAAGCACATCCAGTCAGGCCAACAACACAGTTAGACACTTCCTGGCGGACCACGAATTTCAGAAGAGTGTTAAATTTCGTGTTCAACCTTTGGATTGCACATACCAGCATAGATAGAATGAAAAATACGAGGTACACGGTCAGTAGAAATACATATACAAGTCCACCAAGAGGGAAGGAGGGAGGAAAGACGGACAGGGAGGCAGAGAGAGGGGGGGGGGGGCGGAGGGATGAACAGAAGCTTAAATAGAAAATACGGTTGGAGGGGGGGAGGGGCCAGAGCGAGAGCGACAAATCAAACACGCACATCTTACACATACAAAACGGCAGCTCAAAAAAGACCACCTCTTGTTAATACAAAACGGCAGCTCAAAAAATGACCACCTCTTTTTTTTGTTTTAATATAATTTTATTTATGTCTACATACGTGACTTTGCCGAAAAAACCAATGAGTAATTTTATGCAGTCACGAAAGCTTGAATACTTTGTTAAGTGCGGATGTTCGTAAGTCGGACGTTCGTATCTCGGGGATAATCGGGCCTCTCACCGATATTACCTTCTGGGAATTACATTTGCAATACTTTCAATTCCTCCTCCTCCAGTGAGGTAGCTGGGTAATTTATAGGGCTTCTTGACAGCCACAGCATTGTCCTCTGAGCCATCGTGGCTGAGATCCTGGTTCAGAATCCGGCTTTCAGCCACCCGTGACTCAAACTGGCTGTGACACGTGGCCTGTCGCCATGAAGTAATATGCTTTATTATTACACCAAACACGACTCCCTCCTGCTCCCCAGTGCGTTCCTTGTTTGTTTTTCGGACTTATTTTGACCACGAGACGTATTTGCTGAAACGTGCGCATGTCTGTGCTAGGGGAGCGGTAGTGTGGTGGTTAGCGCTGCGCTAAGAATCCGGCAGACACACGAGTTCGATTCCCGCTCACGGTCATCAACACCATCGGTGACGATTATCAAAACCGGTCCTGGACCTCCTCCCCTAGGTCGACTCAGCCTCAAATGAGTACCTGGTGTGGTGTGTAAACATTGCCACTCGTGAGACAAAGGTGGCTGAGCGTGGTGCTGGCCACCCAGCCTCCCGTATGCTGTTCTGGCTTTCATAGGTGCTCGCTAACAGCGCTTGCCCCAACAGTCTGTTAAGGCTATATTTACGCGATCTAACACCCCCCAAAAAAATCTGGATTATGGATATTGGTCGCGAAAGCCTCCATGTTAAACTAGTCTGTCTTTGATCTTTCCATCAGCATAGCAGAGGATTTCTATACAAACAGTACAGTACTGTTAAAGGCACTCTTCACCACACACAAAGTTTTCGCCTCAATGAACCACAATATCTTGTTCTGATCTCGTCAAGCAGCTATAAACCATCATCACGGGAACTCTGCTCATCTACGCAGCAACGGCGGCTTCTTGGCTGGCCATCGAACAAAGACGGTCACCTCATTGTGCGCTTTTAGGTGCGTTTCTGCGGCCTTCTGGAACGCTCTTCCACCCGGAATTAGGAAGCTGCTTGAGCTATGCACTTTTAAATCATCATCTAGATTGACAAACTCATTTCTTTATAACTGTTTTTTTGTGTTGTCATTCCCCACACACCATACGTGTATACAATATACATATATAGTGTACTTACCTGTATAGACGGAGAGGCAGTCAGACACATGCGTGAGCATGAGGTTGACCGCGGAGCCGACGAGCAAGATGGCTCTCTATTGGCTGAAAGAGTGCACCGACGAATAAGCTCACTTGCCATTGGTGGAGGGAGACAAATGACATCAAACGTACCTCCCGACGCAGAAGGTAAGAGTGTCGGAAGGTGTGCGCAGCAAATGGGGGATGAGAAGAGGTGTGACGAGGAACGAGAGGAGAGAAGTGATTGGATGAGAAAGAGAGAAGAGGATCGGGGAAGGCTCAGGGTGCTTTTGATGGTGGAAGTTGTCATGAACGCACTCTGCAGGAGATAAAATATTTTCACACCTTACAGTGGTGGCAGCGGCGGGATCGACTACAAGATGTCTCACGTTGGTTGTAAACGAAACCCCACCGAGACTCCAGCAGAAGAAGAGGATGGGGCAGCGGCCACCCCAAGTGCTCCGGGCTGAAATGGCCCGGAAGGCCGACTATTAAGAAGCCCGTTGGCGGCCACATTCCACGAAAGGGCAGGGCTGAGGTGGCAAGCCAAAGAAAGAGAGAGAGACGTTGGATACAGAAGGGAACCAGTCAAGCAAGGGGACTGCCTCTAGAGGCGAAGGGACACAGATAGGAGACGCCACAACCAGAACCACCTCCAGGATTGCCAGAAGAACCACGTTGGTCGGGCGGTCCTTGCAAGGGGTATCGTGTCCACCATCACAGGTCCAACCACAGAGGCTACCGCGCTACCCAGGGAGAATCCCCAATTGGAGGGAGAACTGGGAAATCCCTGTCTCTTCCTCGAAGAGAGCAAGTCACAGCAGGTGATTATACCTGTGAAAGAAGAGAGGGAGTCACCACAACAGTCACAGAGGATGGGCAAACAAGGACAAAGAGGAGAGGCAAGTAGGAGATAGCCATCTCCAAGTGAAGAACGTGGAGACCATGGAAGGAGGGCCCGGACTCACAAGCTGGGTCCACTGAAGGAGTTTATGATATATCAAATCAAGTTTGAGTTTATGGCGGCGAGAGGCGACTGGGGCGCCTTTGTATGGCGATTTTAAGCATCCTACAAGAACCTAGACTGGTCAGAGGAGAAGCCACTGAAGGCCCTCCCCACTGTCATCGATAACAATGCCTTGCCCATCTTCTCAACAGTTCCAGAGGCAAAAAGATTAATGCTGATGGACGCTTATAAGGAGATGGCCGAGGTGTTTGACCCGCCATCCAGTGTGAAGCGCCAGTTCCAGAACTAATCAAGGAAGGAGTTGGAGTCTCCCTCAGTGTACTGCAGTGCACTCCTTTCTCTCGCCCAAGCCACCTTCCCACGACTGGATGATGCAGCCCGGGACTCCTTGGTAGCAGAGAGACTGCTAGCGCTAACTCAACAGATGGAGATATATTTTCCGATAGTACCAGAGGAGGCTCAAACGTTGCTATGGATGGTGAAGTGTATCAGGATCCAGGGGGATATGAAGCATTCAACAGCAGTGGTTGCATGCGTAGGAGAGGTGGAAAATGGGCCGATAGTCCACGACATGAACCACCGGGAACCAGATCCTCCGTAACGTCTGAGCCAGACTCAGCGACGACATTGGGAGCAACTATGGAGAGAATGGTAGCGGCTATTCAGGAAATCACAGATTTCAACCGGGGGCCAGGACCGAGGTCGCGGAGGTGGATACCGAGGTAGAGAGAAAGAACAAACTTCAACCATATTCTTTGGGTCTTTCGGTAAAGCCACATAGATAGACAAAAAATATTACAAATAATAACAATATCACGACATTTCGATTGCAACACAAGCAATCGTCATCAGGTGAAAAATACAGCGGGAAAGCTGCTGAGGTAGGAAAAATACATGGTGGAAGAGCTGCTAAGGCAAGATGTTATAAAGGTTTGAGATGGGTGTAGCCCAAGGGTCAGTGGGCGGGGCTAGAGATGAATTTTGCATGTAAATGTAATATCGGAGAAATCTTGACAGTGTATGAATAAGATCGGAGAGCTGAGCCATATACATTACGCCGAAGTTGTGGGGGTGGCCATTGAGTATGAATAAGCTCTCCGATCTTATTCATACTCTTTGTCAAGATTTATCCGATCTTACATTTGGCCAACCCTCACAGGACAGGTTACATTGTGGTGCCCCTAAATTGGCTTAAAATTGTATGGGCGCAGAAAGAAAAGGTTCCCTGGGCCAACCGCAATGAGGTACAACTCGGAGGGGAGAGCGGAGGACGGAATATTGAGCAAGAATAGCGTGGGAGCCCTTCCAGACAAATAAGCAACGGGGGGTTGCCGCCACCCGCTGCGCCGCAACCGCCACTGCGCAGTACTCGTGGAGGGGGGGGACGGAGGGCGGGCGCGTAGACAATGGGTCGAGGCGTAATGGAAAATAACACTCTAGGTAAGGGCGGGGCATCGGTTTAAAAAAGTCGAAAGGTAGGCGCATGATTGGCTGTGCGGCGCGATGTCCCCCTTTGAAGTTTAAAGAACAAAAGTAGGGGCCCCGGGACAACCGGACCGCCAGCGAGTGCTGCTGCGAGACAGTGATTGGTCAAGTCTTCGCTCGTCCTCCTCCCTCCGACTCTCTCAGCATCCCTGGGACGCTGCGAGTCCAGATATGTGGTAGGACGTTTGTGTAACTGGGTTCATAGGCAGAGTTAGGCCAGGCTCTCCTCGCGAAATATTCCTCCTCCAGGTAGTGTGTATTGGCGCCATTAATAAACTTTAGTTCAGAATATCGGTGCAGTGTGATTTCTGTGGGCGTGTATTACAACACATATGGCCGCCGTTGTTTGCATGCGTTTACGACCTCGGCGAGGGGTTGATAATTTGAGCGTGTGTGTGGGACGCGCGTGTATTGCAAGATATACGGCCGCCATCGTTTGCGCGTGTTTACGCGCGTGTGTGTGTGTGTGCAAACGCATGCCTGCAGCGCCGCGTGAGTAATTAGGGCAGGGGGCGGGGTGTGATACGCCTGCTCGCCGGCTCTTGCGCGTTTACACATCAAAAATAGAATTAACAGTGAGGCGCGCGCGTGTATTAAAGCATGAACAGCCGCCGACGCGCACGCGTGTGGGTTAAATTGATCGCCGCAGGGGCGCACGCGTGCGGCGAGGCATGCAAACATAGTCCTACTGCCACCGTTCCTTTTCCGTTAGCGTTAGCATTTGTATGCAAGCGGATTAGGGCTTTGCCACGGGGAGGGGACGCGTGCATATTCATACAGCCCTTTAGCATTAGCCTTTGTGTGCACG